GTGTTCGCAAAACAGGGGCGGGGGGTGGAAAGGGGCGCCCCCCTCCTTCTAGTCACCTTAGAGAGGGGTGCGCAAAGTCAGCCCTCTACATTTACACATTAGGAAGAGGGGGGGGGGGCACTGTGACCATAGAGGTTTCTAAATGTTAACGCCAAAGGCATCAACTTACAATAACCCCTTTCCGGTCCCGAAATAACTGCTTCAAATATTCCTTTTTCCCTCCTACAGTAACTCAGTGGAATGGACTAACTAATAACCAAGTAATGAAGCCGTCCTTAAAGTTGTTTGCAGCAAATTTGACCTGATTGTTCACATCATGCCGTTCTATTTTTTGTTTGTTTGTTTGGTTTATGCATTCTTGAGTGCCAACATTGTGAAAATTATATCGGTAACCACCCTGCTAAAATCTCTGTAATAGGGATTGCAGTATGAATAAATAAATAAATAAATAAATAATAAATAAAATACAACATTAGAACATTATCCATGGCAGATGTCACAGAGTCTTGACGTGGCTGAAGGCAGGAGACTGGTCGGATGGTCGGAAAATAAACTGTTTATTCGGGCCTAACTTGTGGCCACGTAAAAGGAAAGTCAGATTACAGCAAGACACTGTCACTGATAGCGGCGAGCAGAGCGTCGGCCGTCGATCAACTGACAAGGGGCGAAGCGCGTCGGCCTTTACACACTTGCCAATGAATGTTCTAGCCTTATCGCTATCGGCGCCGTAGGTTCCAGAATAATCTGTAATGTTCACGAAGTGTGCGTAATCTTAACAAAACTATCTCCTACAGCCTCGAAGCTTTTCGAACATCGTAGGCGTGGTTTGCGCAGAACGTAGTTTAAAGGGGTGATAACAAAACTTGAGAAAAGGAACGTTGCAATATACACTACAGAGAACTGAGGCGCTAGTGCCTATGGGAGCTGCAACGCACGGCGATTCGGCGAGCATGGGAATGTTGGGTAGTACACGAATTTGTGTAATTTTCGTACTTCTGGCTTCATTTGTGTTCGCGTGGCTTGTACCTTTTTTGTCACGAAACAAAAATCAGCAAATGTTCAGCAGTTGCGCTTCACTACCATAATATTTCAGGCTTACCATTTCAAATCGGGTCACAAAATTCAAAAAGGGTTTGTTCTTTCATTCGAAACGAAACCGGCCCCGCCATGGTGGTCTAGTGGCTAAGACTGCTGATTCGCAGGTCGCGGGATCGAGTCCCGGCTGCGGCGGCTGCATTTTCGATGGAGGCGGAAATGTTGTAAGCCCGTATTCTCAGATTTGGGTGCACGTTAAAGAACCCCAGGTGGTCGACATTTCCGGAGCCCTCCACTACGGCGTCTCTCATAATCATATGGTGGTTTTGGGACGTTAAACTCCACATATCAATCAATCAATCGAAACAAAACCAAAACAGAGCAATAATTACGAAGCCACAAGTGTGATTCACCGTCCGTAATTACGAAAACTATAGGCAAATTCGTGTACTACCCATCATTCGCATGGCCACTGAATGATCGCAGCACTAGAGTCCCTTCCAGCTAATTTTAGGAAACACATCTGTGACGAACAGTGCCTCCTCTCAGCGGTGAACACATATGGACCGTATTATTTTGCTTCTAAAGGCATTCGCGCCACGGCATGTCCATTATCGCATGATTGTCATGCATGCATGCATGCACGAAACTGTGTACACCACGCTAAATAAGCTTGCATTCCGTATATGCAATGCCTGACCTGCCATTAATGTTCATCGTATATTAATATTATGTCGCAGCAGTGTTCATGTATATCAAGATAATAGTTTGTGCGTGAGCTCATCAAAACAATGTCATGTAAATCGTAACGTGCATGACATGTGTGTGCATGTAATGTGCATTGTTTATACTCGTCATGCGCCCCTCCCATGCCATTCCGATGTGTATATAAATATCAAGGTAATGAGTGTAAGCCGTCAGGTGTGGCTGTCTTGCCGTTAACACTTAAATGGGGGAGCCGGGACTAAAACTTTCAGTACTTATTAAATGGTATTAGCGTTAATATATACGTGAATATTTACATGCACCTTGCCGCAAAAACCAGATGGTATTTGGATTAACGAGCCATCGCATCTCCACGTGGCACTAGCTCATGCTCGGGATACAATTTTGATGCAGAAGCGTTAACTTACTGACATGCTTTGGCCGCAAATAACACACACGCAAAGTATAGAAACAGTCAACAACAAGCACAAGCGGCCTTTGTGTGTGTGTTATTTGCAGCCAAAGGCTGTCAATAAGCAAGTACCAACTAGACCAACAATCAGTATTGTTACAAGCGTTAACTTGTAGCCCTATTTCTTTCCGTGTCACTCGGTCTCGCTCACCTCGATGCATCTATTGTCTTAGTATACTGTTACAATAATTTATGGTTAAAGAAAACGTGAATGATTCATAGTACTGTGCAATGTACTCTGTCGTACTCCGTAGTTGATCGACAATGAGCATTGACAATACTTTGTGTGACAAACTAATAAAAGTGGAAGCTTTTTATTATTACATGATGACGGCAAGTCTGCTCTGCAATCATGGAAGAAACTTCCAATGACTAGACTACCGACTCGCAAGTCGCAGGCCAAAATACTCGAGGTCCGTGTACTTAGATTTAGGTGCACGTGAAAGAGGCCCCGCAACATTTTTTTCCAAGTCCCCATGGAATGGATTCACTAAAGGGGCCTATTGCTCACACGTTCACCACCGCAAGGGTTTTCAGAATCCGGTCCCGTACCAAGGAAGCCACAAACGCTTGTCACACGCTGCGATTGCATTCTCTCTCATTTCGTGCCAACGGAAGCGCTGGAAGCTAAGCAATGAGGGATGACATGGTGAAAGAAAATACGTCACGCTTGCCTCGTGACCTTGAGCACCTTCTCTCTCTCCCTCTTATTTTTTCGGATGTGTTCCTGGACGAGACGGGAATCGTGGCCTACCGCTGAGAACGGGACCCTTGCCACCCCTATCCTTGCTGCCGGACTGCTGTTCGTGCTGAATTCGACTGCGTCACTGCTAACTTAACCTTTTTTCCCCTCCTATCCAGCTCTCTCCCATACCCCTTCCCGCAGGCGCTGCGCCGTGCTCCGTACCGGGCTGCAGAAATGATGATGATGATGATGATGATGATGACGACGACGACGACGACGACAATGATGATGACCTAAAAGCTGCAGAAATTAGGCACCTTTTTTTATACTACCCCCATGCAGCAGACCGATAGCGCGAGTGGTGGCCCCAGTAACGACCGAGCGTGCCATGCTCAAACCAGCCAATGGCAGATACTTGCCTGGGACGTGGTGATTTTTGAGCCTGTGGCGTCATTTGTCAAGAGAAAGAAAAAAGGCGATTTTCAGCGGACTGAGAATGAATTGTAAATTCCAGGCTGCGTGCTGCGCTAAAATATTTGGCATGCGTGTTCTCGGTAACCTCGACTATGCCGATCGGTAGCGTTTTCGGACCATGCTTCAAAAGTTTTTCAGCACCCCTTTAATGACCGCAGGAGGTAGAAATTTCGAGAGCCCTGCACTATACGGCGTCCCTTATAATAATTATAATAATTATATAATCAATTAAGATATAATCATATGGCGATTTTTCGGCGTTAAACCCTTCCTATTATCATCAGCCGCGGTAGGTGGTTTCAGCTCGAGACGTAAGTACCTTTTATTGGCTAATGCACATACTACACATATTAAGACACAAAGTTTTCGCCGTTACTACCCGAAACATCATGTTTGGTTCAGAGGCGATGTCAGAATGAATCATTTTGCTGGGACGCTCAAGTTTGCGATTTAACTTTATAGCCACGGAAAAGGGCGTTTGTATAGGAATGTCAGCCACATGAGACATCATAGGGGTGCTTCACTTCATGAAAATCAGTAAATGCTATTACATGAAGCAATTATGCATATTCTTTCTGTGGGAAGGACTGACATGGCCGTGGGTGGAACTAACGTTCTTTTTTTCCCTTAGATTCTACCCGTGTATGAAAAAAGCCTGTTTGATTCCTTCGTTCAAAAAGTAAATGTTACAGCACAGCCGTTAAGCTGACAGTTTGCCGTGTGTCATAAATAAAAAAAAATTGTCATCATCATTAGCTGGCACGTGCCTGATCACCACCAAAGCACTGAGTACACAGATGGCTTCCTTCATCTCTTCCCGAGTGCAGGGTAGCAAACCGGATCTGTGTCTGGTAAACCTCCCCCTGCCTTTCCTTGCATCTTTGTCTCTCTCTCTCTCCATATATATATATATATATATATATATATATATATATATATATATATATATATATATATATATATATATATATATATATATATATACAAAAGAAGCTGAAACGAGCTATCCTTAACGGTGTTTGGCTTATCGGATGTCACTGCGCGTTGCTGTAAATACCTGTTGAGTGGCTATGCCACTAGTTAATTAGTGACAATTAGACTCTAATGAAGTAATATTTTAGTGAGCACAATCGACGCCAGCAGGGAACGTGCCACTGCCATTTTGTTGGGTTACCCGTTCTAGAACTCTCCGTCTTCCGCCGGAGTTGAAATGTGCGCCCCCGACTTGTACTTTGACACAGAGGACAGTGTCGCCAATGCTCTGACGCTTATCCCTTGAGTGGAAGTTTTGTACGCCTTTTGCTCTCCCCGAAAAGGTCGCGTTCGAGCTATATAGACCACGTGGAGATCAGCTTGCTTGGTGAAGCTACCGCGTTGGCGAAAAGAGTGAATTGCTCACTGTAAAAGCCGAAGTATATAACCATAAGAGCTAAGGTGAAGGAGCAACTGAGACAGTTCGTGGTCGTCCTGTGTATATGTGCGTTTTTTTCGTGCGTCATTATTTGTGTTTGAGTAGCGCACAGCAAGTTTCCGGCTGCTTGCATGTGACATTCCAATTTCTTGCAATCGTATTCATTGCTTCGTCCTTGAGGTGAAACTTGTTTCCCTTATTTTTTCTCATTGGTACAGTTGGTATAAGTCGTTCGTGAGGTTCCCGGACAGCTACTGCTATACGCTGGACTACAGCCGGATCGCGAACGAGTCGCACCCGCTCAAGCGATGCCGATATCCCTGGGACTACGGTGAGTCTTACAGAACTCAGCACGGTAGAGCACACATCAAAACTCACTGAAACAGCCAGCGTCCTCTGACGCTGCCCTTGGCGACTACTGCGGGTGCCTATACTGGGTTGGTTAAGGCCCCCGCTGCAGACGCAACCAGGGCTGACCAATGGAAGCACCAGGGTATATTTGTCTGTTAATCTTTTTTCATGACTAGGCTATACAAGACTGTCAGGCGCCTTTGTTTCGTATGTTCTGGGAGTATGGGTCGTTGGGCCCTAGATGCACCAAAGAAAAGTGGGACGCGCTCCTGAAAAGTGCCGTCAATTTAAACCAAATCCTGGCCATCCAGCGCGCCCATGATCACGCCTGCAGTCTAGACCTGCTGGTAACGTCTTGGGATTAGCCAGGTTCCCGTTTTATTGTGTTTTTCCAGACCCAATAAAAGTTTATTCACTCACTCACTCTCACGTCTCACTCCCCCGTAATTTATTTTCTATGAGTGAAGCTCCTTAGTCTAACCTTGCCCCATGGCAGGCGTAACCGGCAGTATATCCGGAGCAGTACAATAGATGGCACTGTCTCATGAAGTACATACAAGGTGCAGTTGAGTGAGGATATCCTAGATGGCACTGTAGCACTGCTCTTCGAGCAGTGCTACAACCCAAGGTGCTAGGCTAGAAGGGGACGAAGCTATTGAATATATAAGAACAAGGGTGACAGAAAAATTTCAACAAAGAAGTACTTTATGCACTACAATAGACATGGACGAATCAAGTGGTGCAATGGCTCCATTTTCACAACAAGAGTGGGAAAGGGCTGAGAAAAGGGTTCCTAGTAGTACATCAACAGGCCCAGATGGCATTCCAATTAGGCTGATAAAGACATTAGGTCCGTAGTCTAAGCAGGCTTTGAGAGAGGCAGTGAGCACAATAATAATCGATGGTGAAGTTCCCGATGGACGGAAACTTAGCAGGATGAGCATGATCTATAAAGGAAAGGGGGACAAAGCTGACATAAACAACTACCGTCCTATAACAGTGACATCAGTGGTCTACAGGCTGGCGATGCAGATTATAAAGGAAAGACTGCAGGCATGGATAGAGGATGAGGGGGTGCTGAGGGAACTGCAGAATGGGTTTCGGAAACACAGGAGGTTGGAAGACAATCTGTTCTCACTGACGCAGTGCATCGAAATAGCAGAAAAGGAACACAGGCCCCTGTGGCTAGCATTTTTGGACATCAAGGGAGCGTACGATAGCGTGGTTCAAGAGGAATTGTGGGGAATACTGGACACACTAGGCGTGGAACATGTAGTCACTAATCTTTTAAAGGATATCTATAAAGGTAATAAAGTAGTTATAAAGTGGGAAAACAGGTATCCAAGTCTGCAGAGGTCAAACTGGGGCTTAGGCAGGGGTGTCCCCTGTCTCCCTTATTATTCATGATGTACCTACAAGGATTAGAGGCGAAATTAGAGGGAAGTGGACTGGCCTTCAACCTTTCTTTCGTCAAACAAGGAAAACTCATTGAACAGGCACTACCATCATTGATGTACGCAGATGATATAGTGCTAATGGCCGACAACAAGGAAGATTTGCAGAGATTGGTCGACATCTGCGGTAATGAGGGAGATAGGTTAGATTTCAGATTCAGTAAGGAAAAATCGGCAGTCATGATTTTTAATGACGATGAAGGTAGTGAGCTTAGAATACAGGAGGTCACGCTAGAGATAACAGATAAATACAAATGCCTGGGCGTATGGATAAGCAATGGGGCCGAGTACCTAAGGGAACATGAAATATACGTGACGACTAAAGGTAACAGGAATGCAGCAGTCATAAAAAATAGGGCACTGTGTAATTACAATAGGTATGATGTTGTGAGAGGAATATGGAAAGGGGTCATGGTTCCTGGGCTGACGTTCGGCAATGCGGTCTTGTGCATGAGATCAGAAGTTCAAGCAAGATTAGAAATTAAGCAACGTGGAATAGGTAGGCTTGCTTTAGGAGCTCACGGGAATACACCAAATCAGGGAGTACAAGGTGATATGGGATGGACATCATTTGAGGGCAGGGAAGCTAGCAGCAAGATAAAATTTGAGAAGCGATTGAGAGAAATGGGGGAAGAGCGTTGGGCTAGGAAGGTTTTCAGCTACTTGTACATGAAGAATGTCGATACAAAATGGAAGAAGCGAACCAGGAAGTTGACTGGTAAATACTTAGAAAACAGCAGGTGGCCAAACCAAAAAGAACTATCGGTTAAGAAGAAAGTGAAGGAAACGGAGACTGACATGTGGAGAATGGGCATGATTAAGAAGTCCGCACTAGAGATCTATCGAACTTTTAAGCAGGAAATTGGCAAGGAAAGGATCTATGATAATACTCGGGGTAGTTCTCTACTGTTTGAGGCCAGGACGGGAGTACTGCGAACCAAGACATATCGGGCCAAATACGAAGGGGTAGACACTGTATGCTGTGCGTGTGGAGAGGAAGAAGAAACTGCCGAACACTTGATAATGTTCTCTAAAGGGCTTCACCCTATAGTTCAGGATGATGGCGCAGAGTTTTTCAAAGCACTGGGTTTTAGGGACCGGGAGGGCAAAATAAACTTTAAGCGGGTAGACTTAACTAGAAGGAGGTTATCTGATTGGTGGCTAAAGTCAAGGCCCGAGTGAAAATTAAACTCTTCACTGCAAAGTACAAATCCTCAAACTCACTTTTTAAGGAAAAAAATAAATAAATATAGTTTTTGGTTCATTAGGTATTACGGCTTGGTGGCGCTAGCCACCGCCCGATCTAAAGGGTACAGCCATATCCATCCATCCATCCGAGTGACTCCTGCGCGGGCTGTGCCTTGGTGCACGGGGAACGAGTGCCCCTCTCAGTCTCCTGCACCGTCGCCGTACGTCCGTGCTCGTCGCCAGACAGACAGAGAGACAGACAGACAGACAGACAGACAGACAGACAGACAGACAGACAGACAGACAGACAGACAGACAGACAGACAGACAGACAGACAGACAGACAGACAGACAGACAGACAGACAGACAGAGAGGCAGGCAGGCAGGCAGGCAGGCAGGCAGGCAGGCAGGCGGAAGCATGGACGGATGCACTGACGGGCAGATGGACGGGCGTACGGATGAACGGACGGGTGCACGGATGGAAGGACGGACGGACGCTTCGCCCCACTCATCATCATTCTGTAATTTTTTTTTCTTCGGGATTTGTAGAGCCTACTGCATCTTCCTGTTTTTGAAATATCCGTGTTCGTGATTGGTTGGCTTGCTGTTCGTCGCAGAAATGACGTCTGTGATTGGCTGGGACGTCGTGAACGCCCTAGAGGCGGACCCGTTTGGCGCCGACGCGTCGGTGCACGAACACGACACCAATTCGGCCGAGCAAGCGCACTCGCTGTTCTTCGAGCCCCAGTCGAGGTACATCATTCTGGTTGAACAGGTACCGACGTTGATAACACAATTCAATCAATCAATCAATTGCTTAACTTAGCATTCCAAGTAGCAACCTTATAAGACCTGAGCGCTGGGGCAGGCACAAAAAATTTTACTATATAGGAGACGAAAAACCACAGAAATGTATAAATAAAGACAGAAAATATAAGCGAAAATCTACAAGAAGCAGTCCGTTATACTAAATATTATTTTATGATGGGATTGGAATCGTAAGCTTATTTTTGAAAATTCAACACGGAAAGTTTTAATGAATGCTTTGAAATCATAGCTAGAAGCTTTAAAAGGGTGCAGACAGCTCAAGGTGACAAATTGTTCATGAGAACCTGGGTACGATAAAGACGCACGAAGGGATATGCACAACATACTATTACGTATGTGTGAAAAGTTGTGTTTGATAATGAACCGAATGCAAATCGAGTATAGTGCAGGAGGTCATCATGTGCCTTTTATATATATCTTGCGAATGATATCCTCCACTTGTTACGATACCGATAATGAAATATGTTTACATTCCAATGAAATGTTGCGCAGAATGGCATGTATAGCTTGATAGCGCCCTGTTGTATTCGTTATATGTGTGAACTAACGAGTACGAAGACACTCACGGGCCTCCGATGTATGACTCCACATCTAAGAGACTCACGGGCCTACGATGTATGACTCCACATATTCGCAGCAAACGACGCTAGCATTGCCCAAACCTTACCAGACAAGGTGCGTCAACTACGAGCTGATGAAGAGGTCCAACAAGCACTATGGCATGATGACACAGAATGTAAGTGAGAGCCGTAAGATGTCATTTAGTTAAATGTAAAATTATTACTTGAGAGATCACTGAAAACAACTTCAACAAAGCGAGTACACTCGTAGAAAAAAAAAGTAATTTGACTCTTTCTCTCTCGTGTGAATGTCGACATACCACGTACATGTCTCACTTTAGAGTGAATCATGAACTCTCTGTGGAGACTATCATGTTCTCGTCCGAGGGTCATGGGACATAAAAGAGCGCTGTGTGCCCTCCTAAAGAGGGTCATATACGTGGTGGCATATAACCTACGAAAAAACAGTTTCCTTAGGGCGTATACTTCTACGCGATCCAAAAATACCAGTTGCACTGCACACAACTGAATCCCTCGTGTGTTTCGGTGCGCAGCTCTGCTACGAGCGGTGCCGCATGAAGCTGTGGATGAAGAATTGCGGCTGCATATCAAGTCGCTATGCGTATCGGGATCTGGAAGGGGCACCTATATGCTCCGAAACAAAAACCAGTAAGTATACCACGTTGTTTGATGAATGCAACTATGTCATTTGCGTTGTCCATCCTCCAGTATTGTCATTCGGGTTGCTGTAATCCTTCTCCGATTCCTCCTACCCCTCTTCTTACTCCTGTTGATAATCACCATCCTCTTATTGCAGACCATGTTCACTTACTGTACACTTTCTTCTCATCACTTACACGGCATTGAATCATGCCAACATCATTCATTCAACCATGCCAACACGCCGCCACAGTTGTTGGAACGATGCCAAGTAGGTCAAGTCGCAGCTGCGCGTTGACGTCACTCCCTCCTTCACCCGCAGCGGCATCCGGCTCTTCCCAACACACCTAGGTGGTGTTGCTCCTCCGCCCAATCACAATACACCTCTCTTTCTTCACCCTCTCCACCGCCCGCAACACTCGACTGCACGTCGAGTGGAAACACTCTTTCGGCTCGGTTGTCTGCGTAGAAACTTACACAAGACCCAACCCGACTCCCGTGGCTTTGCGTTTCAAAGAAACGTTTATTCGAGTAAAGGGTAAACAAAGTTTCGCTTCGAACCGTTCTTCCAGCACCCGCGTCAACGCCCGTTTCGGCCGGGTCGACGGCGTGCGCACCGCGGCTGCTTCGCATACCATCATGGGTCCCTTCGAGGAGACGGTTCATACTTTTTTCTAGTGACTTTTTTTTTTCGATTGAAAACTGTCGGTCAACTTGAGTGTGTTTCGCTAATGGTTATTAGAAATTGCACAGCTTCATGTGATTTTAACCAACCATTACTCGCCGTCCTTTCCTGCCACAGGACAATGCGCCGAAGTGGACGTGGCGCAAAAATATACCAAGAAGTGCCTGAGCAAGTGCCGGCAGCCTTGCAAGTGAGCCACTTTTTTGTCTATATACTGCCATTGAAATATTTCGCGCTTGCGTCGTTTCTTGGATCAAGAGAGAGAAACATGTGAATGAAAAAAATAATTAAAGGACAAAGGACAATTTGTGAATTCTAAAGTGTGCTCGGCGAAAGCCTTTAGTCAGTCAACCGACTTTGTCATGTTTTTTTTTACTCTCAGCAATCACGTGTTTGCTGAGAGTGTAAAAAAAAGAGGCCCCAGCCGCCACCGTTCCAGGGCACGAACGAACGGACGAGATCGATACATTAGAGACATTAAAGACCATGTGAAACGGTACAAAAACAGGACTAGCAGGAAATACGCTGTTGCTGTTAGTCCGGTGTCCTTTTTGTCGGTGCAGATCACGGCTTTGATACACGCGACCCGCTGCATTGAACGGAAGGAAGTTTAGTGTATTTGAACAATAGTATTTGCTTTGATTGATATGTAGGGTTTAACGTCCCAAAACCACCATATGATTATGGGAGACGCCGTAGTGGAGGGCTCCGGAAATTTCGACCACCTGGGGTTGTTTAACGTGCACCCAAATCTGAGCACATGGGCCTCAGCATTTTCGCCCCATCGAAAATGCAGCCGCCGCAGCAGGGATTCCATCCCGCGACCTGCGGGTCAGCAGCCGAGTACCTTAGCCACTAGACCACCGTGGCGGGGCCACAATAGTATTTGAGTTATTTTTTCGCCTCTTAATTAATAGCACTTGTTCAATTAAGCTGCTAACACAAGGCTGGCTCCAAGCATTTTTTTTTTCGTGAGACACACCGTACGGCCACTATGAATTGACAGATCACCGTGGAAAGAAAACTCATCATTTCAACACCGCCTTCCAGATTTTAATCACTGTGGAAATCAATATCAATACGTTTTTTTTTTCGAACACTGACCTCAAATCCCCGTCACACATGATTCATTTAGGGTACATTGGAAAGTCATTCGTTCAAATAGCAATGTTAGCTGACGCTAAGTTCGCATTAATCAGAGTAATTAATATGTAGATGAAGGATAAATTAAAGGGCCGAAAAGGCGATCATCTCTGTCGGGTTGCAACCAAACCTATAACCTCCGCATTACTAGATTTTTTCGCGATACCATTAACCAGCTCGTTTCGGTGTTGATGATGGTGTCATTGGTTGTTAGCGAAAAATCTGTGGTTTTTTTTCTCACTCCAATAAGGTTTTCTTTTATGTCATAATACCTACACTTCATTAAAGCTACAAACAACGCTCCGCGAGCTTTCCTTGGGTTATCTGTTGCCTTCAAAGAAGTGAACATGGGTACAATAATCTGCTATGGTGATTAGGGCAGTAGCTATGTTTGCAGCATATAAGAATTGTGGAGTCTCGATGTGGAGAAAGCGCCATGCTCTTGGAGTGGACGGACGCAGTCGGCACAGTCGGCACTAACCAAACAACACACATTTGCTCAACTACTTTTATAACGACGATATCGTCCGCCGTATTATTATACATCAATTGTGACCAACACGATAGACAACCTTACACAATATTACACAACACAAGGTGGTGTTGCCAACGCCTGACTCACCACAAGCAGACGGCCCGCGGTGCCGTGCACCGGGGACCCACCGCGAGGGACAACCGCTGGCGCCAAGCGCCACCCGCCAAAGAGGACCGCTCACGACGCCAGGCCTGCCGATTGGCGTCACTGCCGGCACTACGCACTAACCATGATGATGATGGTGGCGAAAAAAAAAAACGCTCGCGGGCACAACGCCACCTACCGCTCGGTAGTTGTGTACCCGAAATGCAGCCTATGTGCAAGACGCGTGTGCCATGAGGCACAAACAATCTTTCAGGGGGTGTCAGCACCGTCACAGAATAGACATGAGAGTGTTTTATATCACAGGTATGCGTGTTCTTATTAACTGTAGAGAGGTGAGCTATGCAGGAAATGATGGCTGCAACTTCGATGGCGCAATAAAAAGAAAAAGAGTTAGTCTCCACGCTTAATACGATCTGCAGGCACACGAATTATACAGCCACTTGTTCACAGATTCGTCGATGTCATTTATTTACATCTGCTGCTTAGCGGAATGTGGATTGTCCCTGCATTGCACCCGCGGTAGCTCTTTCGCACTTGTTGGTTGAACTTTTTACCGCAAGACGGCGCCACCAACAACGATGCTCTAGTTAACGTATCCGTTCAATAACGTAGCCTGTGCAGCACTTGCGGAGAAGTGAAAAGAAATGTATGTTAATTTTATCTTTTAAAGCGAAAGTGCACGCGCACGTCAGCAATGTAATTTATTTAGGAGGTGTGATGCAGCGCTAGTGGCAATAAATGTTCGCCCTTGTTTTCGAACGCATTGCAGGGAAATCACTTACGAAGTTCAAATCACGGCACAAGGTCAAAAGGAAAGTGCCCAGGAAGATGAAGAGAAAGAAGCGGTGAGTGAAAGAGCGGCACTTACAGTAGCAAAACATATAAGGTTGATTTGATATGAGAGATTGCCCCGCCGCAGTGGTCTAGTGGCTAAGGTACTCGGCTGCTGACCCGCAGGTCGCGGGTTCGAATCCCGGCTGTGGCGGCTGCATTTCCGATGGAGGCGGAAATGTTGTAGGCCCGTGTGCTCAGATTTGGGTGCACGTTAAAGAACCCCAGGTGGTCGACATTTCCGGAGCCCTCCACTACGGCGTCTCTCATAATCGTATGGTGGTTTTGGGACGTTAAACGCCACATATCAATCAATCAATATGAGAGATAAGCAATTTGCACATATACCACGAAAAAACAACAACCAAATGACAAAGTATCAGCATCTAAAATATTCGTATAAATCAGTGGAGTCAACCTAGACGGTGAAAATTATGATAACTGGATTTGATAATTGATTACTGGATTGGTGTGTCTGCCCCATCTCCCACTCTTCGTTGAGCCTATATATAGCTACAAGCATTTCTTGCTTTCATTTTGCTGAATTCGGTGCACACCCACAAAGAGCGTCAGCCGTAGAGGAGGCGTTGGCCATGCTCGACGCAGATCGGGCCTCAGCGTTTGAGAGACTTCGCGGTTGTAACAGATCGTTCTGTTAAGATTGTGCGTGAGGCGCGAGCAGTCAAGTTGATTCCAGAGCTTGCGTGACCAGCAGTAATGAGGCTGGAAAGTTGTATGCATGCTGTATGAAAGACGGCATGTCCGAATGATGACCAGACTATCGGAGGCTGACGCTCTGTTCACCGCTGTCAGAGTAAGCTCTGGAATTGCTTCCCGATTTACGGCCGCGATTTCGGCCAAATGAAGGATGTCATCTTGGACAACCCGACTGCGGAATTCGTCTACGTCACGACCACGTGACAATGTTTACGCAAGGCTGATACGACGGTGTCGCCCATTGTACAATTTTGCGACGAAATAGGAACTATTGATTGGTATGTGGGGTTTAACGTCCCAAAACCACCATATGATTATGAGAGACGCCGTAGTGGAGGGCTCCGGAAATTTCGACCACCTGGGGTTCTTTAACGTGCACCCAAATCTCAGTACACGGGCCTACAACATTTCCGCCTCCATCGAAATAGGAGCTATTAAAAGTTATTTTTTTCTAATGTCGAGGATATTCGTTGCTTAGAAAGATGCTTTAATAATAACAGCACCTCAGGTTTTACGTTCCAACACCAGGACATAATTATGAGAGACGCCGTCGCGAAGGGCTCTGAAATTTCGACGGCACACAGGCCTCGAGCATTTCGCCTCCATCGAGATGCGACCGCCGTAGCCGAGATCGAACCAGCGGCATTGCGGTCAGCGGCCGAACACCCCAACTGCTTCGCCGCCACGGCGGACAAAGACACTTTCCTTCGTTGCCGTTTTCAAGACACGTTTAAACTTCCCCGCAGAAACTGTACTGAATTACAGTTGCTCCCTTTTGGCATATTGTCGCAGGGATGCCTTTGGTGGGGTTTGTAATTTTATCGAAGCTACACCCCCGCAGGGGCGCCTGCACAAGTAGGCGTTTGGTGTGTAGCGACACCACGGACCCGAGCTAACGGGGCAGTTTCTACTCCCTCCCACGCCTAGCCGTGCGTGGCTTTGCCGTGTCCGGGGAAAAGGGGATCCTGGGGGTTGAGCCGACGCTGGGTGATTGGACCTTTAAGGCCCCCCGACAGAGGCAACACACCCCTTTGGCCCCGGCTTCACGTAGACGGCACCCCTGGGCTGACCCACCCAGGGGAAATCGGCAGTCGCCTTTTCCTATCTCTCTCTCCCTACATCTTCGTCTTTCTTACTTTTTTAGCTTTTCTGTCTACTTCTCTCTTCTGTTTACTTCCAATTTTCCTGGCGGCAAGGGTTAACCCTGTGCAAATAGCCTACCTTGGTCTAGGCGCATTGGGTTATGGCAGTGTTGTACGGCTGACGTCTGCAAGCTTTCAGCACCTGCAAACTTGCAGCGTCCCCTTGTTGGGCTCCGTGGTGGGTGGCCGCCAACGCTGCTGAACAAAAATAAGACCGGCATGCATGGAGCATTCCCTCAACTGTCTGATCGTACCGGCCTAAAGCGGGTACGCACCGACGACATAAATTTCTTCAACCAGCCAATAGAAACTTTTCCCCACTTCCACGTCATTCACTGCGAAAAAACCGGAAAGCAAGCCAGGACCGTATCTCCTTTCGTAGTTGCCAGGTGTCTTACTGAAACTCTCGGGGCTGGATACAAAGTAACCAAAATGGCTAGCGGAGACCTGCTTCTCGAAATTCGGGACAAAGCACAATTTGTAAAGCTAGACAGCCTCTCAACGTTTGGTGACGTACCGATCACCGTAACACCACACAGATCCATGAACATCACTCGCGGAGTGGTATCTGATGCAGACTTACTTGAACTCACCGAAACTGAACTTTTGGAAGGGTGGAAGAGCCAAAATGTCAATAATGTACAGAGAATTATCATCAGAAGAGATAATAAGGAAATACCAACAAAACATTTGATACTCACGTTTGCATCCAGTAAACTACCAGATTCCATTCAAACAGGGTACACAAAGACATCTATCAGGCCGTATATACCAAACCCTCGTCGTTGCTTCCAATGCCAGAGGTATGGCCATGGCTCTAAAACCTGTCGTGGTCGCCAGACTTGTGCACAATGTGGAGTCCTAGGCCACGGGTCTGAGAACTGCAAACAACCGCCACACTGTGTAAACTGCGAAGGAAACCATGCCGCATATTCACGCTCCTGCACATACTGGAAAAAAGAAAAAGAAATAATTACATTGAAGGTGAAGGAGAACATTACGTTTAAGGAAGCACGGCGAAGAGTCGCTCCATTCTATGGACCCACATACGCTGATGCGGCGCGTCAGGGGGCACCGCCGCACCAGCCCTCGCCACCCCTTCGGCCCGCGCATACCGAGCCGGCGGTTGTGGCACCTGCCCCCAAGGCGGCAGTAGCCCAGGCTACACCGCCTACTCCCAAACAGAGACCGGAGACTCCAGAGTCTTCGGGTCTCAAGGCCTCCCCTCACCAGGCGAGGCCCAAAATCCGAACTAACAGCCCGCACGTGCGGGCATCCAGTGCCTCCGAGGAGGCAATGGATACGTCGGCACCCTTGGTGCCGAAAGAGCGGCGTGGCTCCTTGGAGCGCGCCAAGAAAACAAAAAAGCAAATAACAGGGCCTGGTGACGGCCCTGTTAGGTGAACTCAAACTCCCCGTCTAAACAGCCACTCGCTTTTCGTACACACAGCATTATTTTACATTCACCATGAACACTCAAATTATACAATGGAACGTCAGGGGCCTTCTCAGAAACCTTGACGACATCCAAGAACTCTTACACGAACACTCACCAAAAGTGCTGTGTGTACAAGAAACACACCTTAATTCAAAACACACAAATTTTCTTCGTAAATACGTTATTTTTCGAAAGGACCGTGATGATGCCATGACATCATCCGGAGGTGTTGCCATCATAGTGAATCAAGGAATTGCATGCACACACTTACAACTCCAAACATCCCTTGAGGCAGTGGCTGTTCGAGCGGTTCTTTTTGATAAACTGATCACAATCTGCACTATTTACATTCCTCCTAGCTATCAGCTGCAAAAACGTGATTTACACTCTTTAATTGATGAACTTCCGGAACCTTATGTTCTCCTTGGAGACTTTAATGCGCATAGCAGGCTATGGGGTGACTCTCGGTATGACGCGCGAGGTCGACTGATCGAACAGTTCCTTCTCTCGTCGAGCGCGTGTCTCCTAAATCGAAAAGAACCAACCTATTATAATCTCGCCAATAACACCTACTCCTCCATAGACCTAAGCATAGTATCTCCATCCCTTGTGTCTCTACTCCAGTGGAAAGTCGTCAGTAATCTGTACGGAAGTGACCACTTCCCCGTAGTTTTGAGCACAAATACATTAACTGAGTGTCCACCACGTTTTCCCAAGTGGCTCATAAACAGAGCCGACTGGGAACAGTTTTTTACCATCGCTCGTCTAGGTTGGAATGACATATGTACTTTGAACATTGATGTTGCTGTCAACTTCTTCACAGCGTTTTTGATTGATGCTGCAACAAAATGCATCCCACAAACAAATGGACACCCTGGAAAACGGCGTGTGCCATGGTGGAACTCTGAATGCCGAAACGCGCGCAAACAGCAAAACAGAGCTTGGAGGCTGCTTCGGAACTCACCGACAGCCGAAAATCTTGACACCTTCAAGAAAATAAAGTCTCAAGCTAGGAGAACGCGTCGGCAGGCCAGAAGAGAAAGCTGGCAGAAGTTTTTGTCAGGGATCAATTCATACACACAAGAGGCCAAAGTCTGGAACATGGTCGGTAGGATAGCAGGGAAACAAGTACACACACTTCCACTCGTAAACACTCAAGGTGATACCTTGGAAGATCAGGCAAACTTCCTCGGGGCACATTTTGAACGGGTATCCAGCTCGTCCCACTATACTGACACTTTCCAAAAATACAGAACAAGAATAGAAAAGCAGAAACTCGAACACAAATCCACTAGATACGAGGCATATAACCAAGCTTTCAGTCTAGCGGAGCTCCGAACATCCCTAAACTCCTGCAGTACTTCTGCCCCAGGTTCTGACCGTGTGGTGTATGAAATGTTGAAAAACCTACCAGCCGAAACACGAAAAACCCTACTTTGTTTGTACAATGCTATCTGGTTTTCTGGCACTATCCCTACCTCCTGGAAAGAGGCTATTATTATTCCCATTTTGAAAGAGGGCAAGGACCCTTCTTTAGCTTCAAGTTATAGGCCTATTGCACTTACAAGCTGCTTGTGCAAAGTATTCGAAAAAATGATAAACTGCCGACTTGTACATATCCTTGAAACAAACAATTTGCTCGACCCATTTCAGTGCGGGTTTCGAGAAAGTAGATCCACCACAGACCACCTGTTCGTATCGAGGCACAGATCAGAGA